GATGAGGTCTCGCTGCCCAGGCGGGTCTTGAACCCGCGGGCTCGGGCAATCCACTCACCTCAGCCTCCCAAAGGCGCGGAATTACAGGCTGAACCACCGAGCCCGGCTTAGTTTCCCCTTTTAACAAAGAAGCCTGCATTAGTGTTTCAGCTCTTCAGGTGAAAGGTTCAGTGTGTGACATGCCTGTGGAACATGAAACTTACTTACTCACAGAGTATCAGGTTCTTGACTTTGGTACTCTGCTTTAATTTTCTGAGTTCCTAAGAACATATATGCCCCAGTAGTGGGGCTAAAGTTGTGAGTAAACTGTAAACTGACAGTTGTGAGTTCTTACAGCTAGCTACTCTTTTTCTGGACCACACTTGACTATCCCTGTTGTCTTACGCAGGTTGCTATTGCTGGGGCCCCAGTCACTCTGTGGATATTCTATGATACAGGATACACAGAGCGTTACATGGGTCACCCTGACCAGAATGAGCAGGGCTATTACTTAGGATCTGTGGCCATGCAAGCAGAAAAGTTTCCATCTGAGTAAGTTCAAGCTTTACAATTAAGATTACACATTTTAAATTGTATTTTTTAAACTTAATTTTTAAAATTTCTTTAATCCTAATAAAAAATTCAAATAATGAAAAACCAAGATAAATATTTTATAGAATACCAGAATGTTATGACTGTTTCTTAAATCCAGTCTACACAGTTTGGTTTTTTACAAGTTATATTTGAAGTAGTTGCTTATGCTGAAAGAAATTAAGGACTCAGCTGTTTCAAGGTAGAAAAAATTCTATGTCTGCTTAAATATATTTACAAATAATTTTTCTAAAGACATGCTATAATTATTGATGTGTTCTAATATTTTAATAAGTTGAACACACAATTTTTTAACCTTTAATTACGTGTGGCATCTGATTAATAGATTACAAATTTAATATTGAATCCTAGCTGGGCATGGTGGCTCATGCCTGTGATCCCAGCACTTTGGGAGGTGAAAGTGAGAGAATTGCCTGAGTCCAGGGGTTCAAGATCAGCCTGGGCAACTTTGTGAGACCTCGTCTCTACAATAAATCAAAAAATTAGCTGGGTGTGGTGGTGCTCTCTTGTAGTTCCAGCTACTTGGAAGGCTGAGACAGAAGATCATCACCTGAGCCCAGCAGGTCAAGGCTTTGGTGGACACAAGCATGCCACTGTACTCTAGCCTGGCTGACAGTGAGACTCTGATACGGCCAGGTGCGGTGTCTCAAGTCTATAATCCCAGCACTTTGGGAGACTAAGGTGAGGGGATTGCCTGAACCCACAGGTTCGATAACAGCCTTAGCAACTTGGGAGACCTCATGTCTACAATAAATGAAAATATTAGCTGGACATGGTAGCACACACCTGTAGTTCCGGCTACTTGGAGGCCCAGCAGGTTGACGCTAGGGGCTGTGAGCGTGCCACTGCACTCAAGAGACTGACTCAAAAAAAGAAAAATCGAATCCTTTTTCTAACATTACAATATATGGAAGTTAATGTAGTTAAGTTTGTTTAGTTTGAAAGAGTTAAATGGTTTCCTCAAATACTCTACTGTTTTGCCTAACTCTCTGGTATTTCCATTTCTCTAGACCAAATCGTTTACTACTCTTACATGGGTTCTTGGATGAGAATGTCCATTTTGCACATACCAGTATATTACTGAGTTTTTTAGTGAGGGCTGGGAAACCATATGATTTACAGGTGAGTTATTCTACATTTTCTAATTAAATGCAATAGTGATTAATGATTGATTACTTTGAAATCTAATAAGTATGGAGTAAGGCCAGATTTTCAGCTGTGTTCGCCCTCTGCTTAAGAGAACTAAAGTAATAGGCATAGTCACTAGTTCCTCTGGTTGTATGAGAGTTAAGATTTCATTGAAGTCACACTGAAAACTTGGCCTTCCAGATCACATGGCCTTTCAGATCACATGACTTGTTATCTGTGTCTGCATTAAGTTTGTCAGCATGGAAAAGCTGACAAGGAGTCCATTCACTATTCTCTCTCTTAGCTTTCCCAAATTTTCCATGGTCTTTTTTTTCTTTCTTTTTTTTCTTTTTGTGGTAGTTAGTAACCTACCCACTATTTGTAGTCCCCCTTTTGGGATCCCAGTAATTTGGCAAAAGTTTCCATTCTCCATGCTGATATCTATTCTCTGAATAAATTGATCATAGTTATTTAAAAATCTGTGCATGCCATCTCCATTATTTAATCTTCTCCTCCTCCTTCATCTTCTATCATTTGGACTTATTCTGGACTTATCCACTAACACAATTGGTTATATTCTATTAAAGCTAGATATTTTGGCCAGGCATGGTGGTTCATGCTTTAACTCCAGCACTTTGGGAGGCCAAGTGAGAGGACTGCCTGAGCCAAGGAGTTCAAGACCAGCCTGAGCAACATGATAAAACCTTGTTTCCACCTAACCCTTAACTGTACCCCACAAAACCATAATAAAAAATACTGATTAATGAAAAAAAAAAAAAAAACCTTGTTTCTACAATAAATCAAAAAATTAGCTGGGCATGGTGGCGCACACCTGTAGTTCCAGCTACTTGGAAGGCTGAAGTGGAAGGATCGCCTGAGCCCAGCAGGTCAAGGCTGCGGTGGCCATGAGTGTGCCACTGCACTCCAGCCTGGGTGACAGAGTGAGACCCCAACTCAAAAAAACAAAATTCTGCTGAAGGCAGAAGGATCATATGAGCACAGCAGGTTGAGGCTTCAGTGGCCATGACTGTGCCACTGCACTCCAACCTAGACTCCTATTCAAAAACCTGCTGAAAATATTACAAAAATTTCAGGTTTCTTGTTCGCATATACATGGATGAAAAAAATCTTAAGCAAAATATTAGCAAATTAAATCCAAAGATGTATCTAGGAATTCTGGCTTGGTTTAACATTTGAAAGCCAATAAATACAATTTACCACATTAACAAAACAGCGGGGCCAGATGCAGTGGCTCACACCTATAATCCCAGCACTTTGGGAGGCCGAGGTGAGAGGATTCCCTGAGCCTTCTGGTTCAAGCCCAGCCTGGGCAATTTGGTGAAATCTCATCTCTACAATAAATTTAAAAAAAAAAAAAAATCAACTGGGCATGGTGGCGTGTGTCTTTGGTGTTCCAGCTATATGAAAGGCTGAGACTGTGGTAGCTGGGAACATGCCAGTGCCCTCCAGCCTGGGTGATAGAGTGAGATTCCAACTAAAAAAACAAATAGACAAACAAACCAAAAAAACCAGCATATTATCTCAATATATACTGGAAAAGTTTATGAATTCCATACCCATCATGACCAAAACTCTTAGAGAACCTGAAACACAAAGGTTTAACTTTTTAAAATCCTGAATAAAGAACATATACAAAAATAAAATAAAATTAATAAACTATTCTATGTTGATACAAGTCACATTTTTATGGAACAAAAACTATATTTCAAAATAAAGCAAAATATTTTCCTGAGGAAACAAATAGCATTATTTTACATTTTTGTAAATCCCTTTGACTCTGCCTATGAAGAAGATACTTGAATTCTTGTATCTCCTACATTGACTCTGTGGTGGTATGTTGTTTTGGCTAAAGTATTTGAAGAAGAATTCAGCCACACAGAGTATGAAGTTAAGAGATGGGAGGAGTATTTTTAGCCTTTTCAGGTAATTGTGGGTATTCTTAGTTGATACTACATCAAAACTGGACAAGTTCTTAAAGTTTGGGTTTTTTTAGTTTTTTGGCTTTTTTTTTTTCTTCTTAAGATGGGATCTCACTGTGTTGCTCAGGCTAATCTGGAACTCCTGGGCTCAAGTAATCCTCCTGCCTCAGCCCTCCAAGTACCTGAGACCACAGTCACACATCACCTACTCTGCTTAAAACTTGGTTTTAGTGTGGAATCTGTAGCATATCTCTGTCACAGTAACATGTATTGGATCTTATACTTCACATGGATCTGTTACCCGTGCATTGGCCATCTGAGAAGCACTGGTTCATTGTGTTATGCTAATCTTTCAAATGTAGCCTCATTTTATTAGGTAGTTTTTTTTTTTTTTAATCACATACAGTAAGATTACCACTAATTTCATCCAAAAAGTATCTAGGCTGGGCACAGTGGCTCACGCCTATAAACCCAGCACTTTGGGAGGCTGAGATGAGAGAATTACTTCAGTCCATGGGTTCGAGACCAGCCTGGGCAACTTCATCTCTACAATAAATCAAAAAACTTAGCTGGGCATGGTGGCACACGTCTGTAGTTCCAGCTACTTGGAAGGCTGAGGCGAAAGGATCACCTGAGTTCAGCAGGTTGAGGCTGCAAATGACTGTGACTGTGCTACTACCCTCCAGCCTGGGCGACAGAGTGAGACATTGACTCAAAAAAATAGAATAAAATAAAATAAGAAAAGTGTCTAAGCCTGCCTGGGTGACATAGTGAGACCTCATCTCTACAAAAAAGTTTTTGGTGGTGTACATCTGGTCCCAGCTACTCAGGATGCTGATGTAGGAAGATCACCTGAGCTGAGGAGTTTGAGTGGTAAACTGTGATCATGCTGCTGCACTACAGCCGGGGCAACACAGTGAGACCATGACTCAAAAGAAAAATGCCTAAGTATTGGGAAGCTCATGAGTGGTAAATTCAGATTTTCTAAAATTCTAATTTTCATTCAAAAGCTCAGATTTTATCATTGATAACAAATACTATCAGTGTTGTCCTTAAAGTGACCAGCTCAGTTTATTTGCTTTGAGAAAATGTTTTCCAGAAACTCAAGTCTAAATAACCATAGTTGTCAGGCATTCCTCAGAATGAAAAATTTAAAGTTCCATTTAAAAAGCTGCAGTTCCGCTTTGGCGTCTTTGCACAAGTACATTCCTTGAGACATGCTGTAGCACAGGTTCTGTGTGCATATTTCCATTCATAAGCAGAATATTAAGAGACTTCTCACAGGCTTCAATTTAATAGAATTCTGACCTCTTTTGCAACTTAGGTGAAACTGACGTTTTTATTTTTTACTGTAAGTACTGCAAGTGCTTGGTGGTAAAGGATGTCATGACTTCCTTACAGTTTGACATTAGTGCCTTGGTTCATGAGGCACTGGCAGTTGTGTTCACCATTGCTTCTACATCATCAGTGCAAATGCCAGCACAGTGAATGAGGACAGGTAGTATCTTGGTACTTGTTCTGAAAGTGGTTTTGATCTCATGTATTCCTTGGAAGGTTTCCAAGGACCTCAGAGTCTACAGACAACACTTGGGAAATGAGCTGATGGTCTTACGGATAAACCTAGTGGCATACAGGGAATTATATGAAGAGGAGAGAAGCCTTTAGATGTGTCATGTCATCTCCCATAGGGGCTGTGCCTCACTATTATTAATCCTGTTAAAATCTCTGGAAAACTTTGGAAGAAGATGCATTGTTGAATTATTTTGTGTGTGTGTGTGTTTGTTTTTTTGTTTTAAGATCTATCCTCAGGAGAGACACAGCATCAGAGTTCCTGAGTCTGGAGAACATTATGAACTGCATCTTTTGCACTACCTTCAAGAAAACCTTGGATCACGTATTGCTGCTCTGAAAGTGATATAATTTTGATCTGTGTAGAACTCTGGTATACACTGGCTGTTAACCAAATGAGAAGGCTTAATCAGTAGAAGACACAGAATTGGTCATCCCATTTTGATACCTGCCACATAACATCTACTCCTGAAAGTAAATTTGGTGCCATGCAGGCATCTATAGCTTGTGGATAGTAATCTAATACCTTATCCATACATACACAAAATTGAATGATACCGGTTTCTAAAGGTCCCAGCAATACTATGAGAATTACTGAAAGAAATGAAACATTAGCACCTGTAGTTATGCTACCCTGTTTTCAGTTTTAATAGCATTATAAACCTTATGGACTTACTTAGTGTATTTTTACAGTATACTTCTGAGTTTGTTAAAATATGATTTTAGTGATTGGTTTGGTTCAATTCCAGAATCTCTTGACTAGTTACAGATCTGATAGCACTTAAATGTAATTGACTAGTTTATGCTTCATTGCTTGGGGTGTATCCAGCATGTTATGAACTAATCACTATTAAACTTGACTTAACCAATCATTAATGATTTTTCAAGGATAACTTAGTGGCCTCCTAAAGACACTTATTTTGGCTCTGACCAGTTTTTAGCCAATTTCAACTGTATCTAGTATAAATAATTATAATTTTTATTTGATGATATGACAGAGTGGGATTTTCCTTTTACATAAAGGCAAGTAACTATATATGTAGCATGGATTTAATTAGTCTTATGATACTGATAATTACAAGCAGAAAATTTTTTGATCAAATTATTATAGCTTAAATATTTGCAGGCAAGTTTTTTTTTTCCTTTAAGAAAAGGAAAAAGTACATACTCGTATTCTTGAGAAAAGTTAGTGTTGCCAGTTTTCATTTGATATTTCCTTATTAAAATATTCCAGAGTTTTAGGGAAGCTGAAGGAAATCACAGTGGGGAGACTAGGACGTGGGGGAATGACAGGGAGAAGAGATGGTGAGAGTCTGCCTAAGAACTAAACAGAAATAGTTTCAACAGAAATACCCATGAAGAAGTTTAAGACATGAAATTTAAACAGGTTATTAAGGAAACCAGAATTAAGAAATCGCCCTCTTGCCAGCACAGCTGCAGACTAACATTATTCAGGGGAGGAAATGTTCCTTAGGGTTACTTTTATAATTCTAATTTTTGTGTGTATGACCTTTTTCCTCTTAATTTTAGAAACCTTACAAATTAAACTTCATCCTTTTAAATAACTTGGACATACTTTAGATATTGTGAGCCTAAAATAAAAAGGTTTACAGACAGCCTCTTCCATAAGCTAATCCCAGGTAAACCATGGCTTGCTTTTCTAGTGTTTAAAGCCTGTAAACAGTTTTCTTGAATGGCCATGACATTTCTGTGGTTTAGCCCTAACACTGGACTATGAGGAGAGCTCAAGGCTTCCAAGTGCTGATTGGGATCTGCCCTGTTGGAGTCTTGAGGTGCTAGATCTGTCACATTGGCACCAGTGGCAGGGAAGGCATCTATGAGTTTGACCCTTTTTATCACAAGCTTCATGTTTAAGAAGTTGTTACCAACAATTTAATCAACACTTCAAGAAAAGTTGCCCTATTTGTTTTTCACCACTGCAGAAAGAGTAGATTTCTCCCATGGAGAGTACTAGTAGCCTCCACTAGTAAGATGGTGACTGCATTGGGGTGGACATCACTGAGGACCAGGTGGGAGGTGGGGAGCCCAGAAATGACAGGAGAACCGGTTAGTTCTGTCCTTTGGGAAGGGATTGATTTTGCTGTCTGTATTTATACTGTATAATAGATACCACACTTTTTCCTTATTGTCTGTGTATGTATTGATTTTCATGTTTATGATATTTTCCCATGCCAAGATTTGTTTATATTTTTTCAATGTTAAATTAAATTGATTTGGGTAACTTTTCTTCCCCAAGAAAGTATTTTTCCCCTTGACTTAAGTATATATCTGACTATTGAGGGTATTTGTTTTGTTTGGGAGGGGGATACTAATTGGCCTCAAAGGATCTATCCTTATATTATGTGCAAAGTAGAAATGGTATACAGTAGCTTTTAGACAGCTACTCATTTAAACCCTTACCCATTAAGACTGTTTCATCAAAATGGCATCTCTTATTTTGCCAAAACAAACTCAGAAAGCTTCGTGAACTCTTGATTTCACAGGTGTTTTCCTTTTCTCCTATCACAAATGATGCTTCTGTTGCCACCCAGTCACTTGAATGCCATTCCACAGAAAGATGGCCCAACTGAACTGGCTTTTCACAACCAGTGTGGAAGACATCATAGTCAATTGGAGCAATCAGTAGAAATCTCACTAAAACTGTTCATACCCTAACTATGGGTAACAACTTAAAAGGCAGAAATATGTAAAAGTAGCAACACTTTGGTGAGAGCCCAAATGCACTAGGTTAAGCATCACAGTGGGTTTCTGCAGGCTTGGTAAATGGGTACTTTTGAACAGCCATCAAGAGGTGTAATTACTTGAGCATTATAGAGCAGTGGGACTCAAAATTGAAGATTTGTCTGGGCTGCTTACTTAAAGAAATGCAGAGACTTGAATCTTCCTCTGAGAAATTTGGATCCCATTAATTTGGGTAGAGGCTAGGAATGTGCATTTCTAACAAGCTTTCCAGGTAATTCGAAAGCAAGTCGTCCATGGACTACTTTAAGAAACTCTCCTATAGAGATTGGAGTTGGATTAAGAAAATAACAGATGCTTTTTACACTGGACTAAGTCACAAGAAAGCTGTTCACCTGTGATAACTGGCCCCTTCTTACTCTGAAAACCGCAGGAGATAGTGTTTACTTTATACCTATACCCTTTGTCTGGAGGTTCATTTTGGAATGAAGGTTTTTTGCTCCATGCCGTTCCTGGCTCTTTTCCAAAGCCTCACAGAAAAGGGCAAAGTCACAATGCATGCATTACCTTTTAAAAGAATGAGATATAGATATGGATACTTACTTTTTTTTTTTTACTACTTGTTTTATTCCTTACAGAAAGTGTATCCCACCCCTCTGTGACAGCATTCTCTTTAGGTAGAATGATTCCTGTAAGATCTCATTATTCTAGAATCATGCATTTTGCAAGCTGGAATAAATCTTTAATCTAATCTAATCTAATGTTCTCATTTGTTAGAACAACCTACACACTAGAAAGAGGAGGAAATATACCCATGACCACACAGCCAGTTAGTACTTAGTTGGTACTAGACTCCATCCAGATGTCCTGACTCGTGGCACTTAAATGACATATAGAAAAGGTAAAATTTTAAAGTATTTATTAATATATTCCTATGAAGCATTTTAAAGATAACTTCACAAAATGGTTAATTTTTCCATTCTAAAGTAAGTACTAAGCATGCTTATTAATTAAGCAGTACTTATAATTAGTATATACCATCCTAAGTATATGAGAATTGTTGTACCCAACGTGTCTTCCTTGGTGTAGTGGAGATTTGAGGGTTGGGATACAAAGCAAAGTGATTGTGTCTATGTGATGCTAGAAAAGACACATGGCCATATGTAAACTAAGACACGGAAGGTGAGTGTCTGTTCCTTGCAGATAGAAAGGAGCAAGAAAACTCTCGACTCCCACCTTTCCAGCCCTGCCAGCCTCAGCTGTCCATCTTCTAGCCCAGAGTGTGGAGATGCGTAAGTGCAATGGTGCTGGGCTTTAGGTCATCATTGTATAAGCCCTTCACAGAGAAAGAAAAGTAGTGTGTTTGTTTTCAAATAATCCAAATACAAATTTATGTTGTATTCAGCAAAATTGGAGTTCAGGTCTTTACTTTTAGAACATAAAGTGCCTGCTGTTTTAAGCATTGACTTGTATAAAGAGTTGCATGTCTCACTCCAATGAGCTTATGGGTATTTTCATTTTCAGCTACATGGCTTTTAATCATGTAAAGTGAAACATGAGTTTTGTTGCATTTTATTATAGTTTTTTGTTGCAATAAAGATGCTGCTGAAATTAATTTATTTAAATGTTCCTTTTTCCCCATTTGTACAACCTTGTCTTGAATAGTGGCATCTGTGGAGTGATTAATACAAGTGAACAAAGTCTTGTGCTTGCACTGGAGGAGGGAGACTGCAGGATGAAGGGATACATGGGGTTTAGTATAAACACTAGACAGAATGCTTCGAACCTAACAGCCTGGAGGAGTGCAGAGAACTGCTTTGTACCTACATGTGGTCCTAACAGGCAGTGGTTGGTGCTCCAAAGGTAGATAGTGCTTGGTGCCCTGACTAGTGTGTCCTCCCTGAGCAGCTGAGGCTTGTGGGAATGCCACATGGCAATGGATAGTGGTTTCTATGTGCTGCCCAGGAAATTTTGAGAGAGCTAAGTATAATACTACTTTCAGAGGTTTCTCTGACAATTTTCTGCTTCTTGTTATATTAGAGAATGGGGAGAAGGAAGGTAGAGGAACCCCTTTAAATTTGAGTTTATGTGATAATCCTAGAACAGAGACTTCATCTGGATTCTGAAGTATGTAAAATAGTGCATGAACAAGTAGTGGTACAGTATTTTGGAGAGAGACTCCTTGGTTTTATCAGATTCTCAAAGGGTAATGATCCCAAAAAAGTGAAGAGCCACAGCTGTGTTGGGTCTTAAAGTGTTTTGGTTTTTTTTTTTTGGTATATAAAAAGCATTAGGGTCCAGGCATCAGGGCTCAAGCCTGTAATCTCAGCACTTTGGGACGCTGAGGCGAGAGGATTGCCTGAGTCCAAGTGTTTGAGACTAGCCTGGGCTACAATAAATTTTAAAAATTAGCCGGGTGTGGTGGCACATGCCTGTAGTTCCAGCTACTTGGAAGGCTGAAGTGGAAGGATTACCTGAGTCTAGCAGGTCCAGGCTGCAGTGGCCATGAGTGTGCCATTGCATTCCAGCCTGGGCGACAGAGTGAGACTCCAACTCAAAAAAAAAAAAAAAAAAGCATTAGGAATAAAGATGATTTTTAAACAGGGTAAGGCCATAGACCAGTGCTTCCTAACCTTTTCACCTTGTCATCTTGTGACACACATACAAAAGACATTTGTATGCCACTCTGGGATAAACTGAGGCACACTGGGATAAGCAGTTGAGGCTGCTTGTAGTCAGGAGTGATTGGCCAGACCTACCCCAACTCTGAAGACATTAGGATCTCAGTATACATATAATATGGCACTGCGGTTGGGAAACTTTTATAGACTACCTTGGTCTAGATTTATTGTTAATCAAATGTCAGCTTTCAGCCTGGCCATAAGCACCCTGCATATAGTAGTGGAGGTGCAGATCTCCAGTGGCTGTGGGACTCCAGTGTCCCAGAGTCATATCAGAGCAGGTGCTATGAACATGAAGCCTTTTGGCTTCCCTTTGGCCTAGAGGACCTTCCTGCAAAGAACTGTCACCTGTGAGTAGAAAGCTAAAATAACTATGGCATTTCTGCAGGGTGGACATGAGGCAGAGATAGATCTCTTGGTGTTTCTGTGGAGAGCAGATTTGAAACAGCTGTGTTGTAAGAATCTCATAACCAGAGTATGGTTTTATTTTGGGCTTGGCGTGGTTTGAGGAATTATAAGGACTTAAGTGTTCGTCAGCCTGGCTCCATCCAGTTACCCTGGAAGAGGTCGAGCTGCCATTGAAATGGCTTAGAGTGACTTCAGCTCCAGCACAGCCCCTGAGATTGTTAAGTTTGCTGTTTGCTCCCTAGTCCTTACCGAAGATGCTTCTCTAAATTGGCTTCCATACTTGGGTTCTTGAAATAGAAGTTTGGGGACGCAATTAGACAGGATAGTCATCCTTAGCCAGCTCCAGCAATTCCTTCTTGTACACTGGAAAAACACCCTGCAGAAATGCCATAGTTATTTTAGCTTTCTACTCACAGGTGACAGTTCTTTGCAGGAAGGTCCTCTGGCCAAGATGGTTCTGGGAGCCACACAGCTGCTCTGTAAAGTGAACTTTTATTGGCTCAGTTATTGAGTAAGCACAGAGTCCTAGCTGCAGCCCTAAGCATGCCTGAACACGACTGCCCAGTTCAGCTGGGCACTGGGTTTGTGACTGGGCTGGCTCTTTGCTCTGAGCTGTGTCCACTGGCCATTCCTCTTCTTTCCCGTGCTGCTCCCATCCCAGCCGGGTCTCATGGCTTCATGCTGGGTAACTGCAGCAGCTCACACATAGCCTGAGTTGGGAGTGAAGAATAGGACTCCAAGTGACTTTGGAGAAGCAGTTCTCAACTTTCATTCAGCAAATACTTAGCAACAGCCATGTGCCAGACCTGAGTTCTTCATGAGAAAACAAAGCTAAGAGGACATAACCCTTGTCCTCCTAGGCCTGGGACCAGTGTCATCTCCCACCCGTGAGTGCACCCGAAGAACACCCACTTCCTTAAAGGCCAGCTCCTTCTTACCCTCTGCTCCAGTCTCTCATCAGATCCAAGTTCTGCCTGGCACTCAAGGCCCTGTGCCACCCAACCTAGCCTTACTTTCCTTTCCCTTAGCATGTGCCTAAGTCCACCTGTGAGCCTCCTGAGAATTTCATTTTTGAATTAGCAAAACACACATACCTGCAAGAGTCCAGGGGGGAATTGCCACCTGAGGCAGGAGGAATGACAGAATGGTGCCGACATCGGCTTCAGAGCTGGCTGTTGCCCTTGCCTCCGCTGCATGCTGGCTTCATGCCTGGGCATGTTTACCTAAGATTCCTACCCTCAGTTTTCCTAGGTGTGAGATGGGATTAACAATGGAGCCTTCGTATCTGATGGGTTGTGGTGAAAGTTACAGGTTAATCCACATGAAGAACTCAGGTGTCTGACAGTGAAAGCGCAGTCTGGATAACCTCAGATTCAGCAGTTAATTTCTTACTATCCCATTTGCCACCGATTTTGCTCTTCAGTTGGATTATAGACTCTAAAAGTAGGCACTCATACCTGCTAATTCTTCCTGCAGCACTTGCAACAGAGTCAAGCATTGCTCACGAGGTACTTGATCCCGAAACATTTTATTTTTGAGTTGGAATCACTCTGTCACCCAGGCTGGAGGGCAGTGGCACACTCCCAGCCACTGAGCCTCAACCTGCTGGACTCAGGCGATCTTTCCACCTCAGCCTTCCAAGTAGCTGGAACTACAGGCACGCGCTACTATGCCCAGCTAATTTTTTGATTTATTGTAGAGATGAGGTCTCACCAAGTTGCCCAGGCTGATCTCGAACCCATGGGCTCAGGCAGTCCTCTCACCTCAGCCTCCCAAAGTGCTGGGATTGTAGGTGTGAGCCACCACACTCGGCTCCAAAACATTTTCAAATAAAATATATTCGACCTCCCTCATTTAGGGTTGTCTGATTGACAAATTATGGATACTTAAGCAGCCATCTGTCAATTCATTTGTGAGACTACAAAAGAACACATTCTCCCCTACACTGGCTTTAGACCTCTTTAAAATGCCCCCACTGAGGCTCTGGGTCGGGAGGTGTGCTGCTCCAGCCTGGTTGCTACTACAGTTGCCCAGGGAACTTTTAAAAACACCATGTCCTTCTCAGCATCAGTCACATCAAAATGGGAAGGGGGCTGGGGGTCCTGCCATCTTTATTTATTTATTTTGAGTAAGAGTCTCATTTTGTCACCCAGGCTGGAGGGCAGTAACATGCTCCCAGCCACCACAGCCTGAACCTGCTGAGTTCAGGCGATCCTTTTGCCTCAACCTTCCAAGTAGCTGGAACTACAGGCACATGCTACCACACCTGGCTAATTTTTTGATTGTAGAGATGAGGCCTCGCCAAGTTGCCCAGGCTGGTCTCGAACCCATGGGCTTAGGCAATCCTCACCTCAGCCTCCCCAAGTGCTGAGATTATAGGCATGAGCCACCACGCCTGGCCTTAATGTATTTAAATAAGTTCTTTAGGTAATCCTAACACACAACTAGAGCAAAAGTCTGAGGCCGAGTAATGCAAGATCCAATTCATAGAATGTAGGAGCTAGGACAAGACTCAACAGTCGTCTAATCTACTTCTTCACAGATGAGAAGCTGGTGCCTGTCATCCTTCAACCTAGGTCTTCTAGCTCTGTGCCTATTCCCAGAGCAGTGTTCTCCCAAGCTGGACCTCAGCAGAGAAATTTGCCAAAGTGAAGGTGCCAGGGCTGTGACTCAGTAGAGGTAGAGGGCACGGGGGAAACCCTAGCCCTTATATCATCCACTGCAGCTTAGCTTTTACTCATGTATAATCAGGGAAAACATGTTCTGAAGCTTCAACGAAGAGGTAAGAAGTCAGTGACCACTCCCCTCATTTCACAGATGAGAAAACTGAGGACCAGAGAGCACTGCAAAGCCATACCATTGTCAAGTGGCAAAGCTGGTACCAAGACGTAGACTGACTGAGGTACCAGGAGGTGAGATACCACCTGAGACCCTGAAGTACCTGACGTACCTCTTGAGACCCTGAGGTACCAGGAAGTGAAGTGACTTCCCCAAAGACACAAAACAGGTTGGTAGCTGAACAGGGACACTAGAATGCAGACTCTAGGACTCTCGGTCTAGAACTCCAACTAAAGTTTCTAAAACCTAAGATGTAGCCGGGCTCGGTGGCTCAGCCTGTAATCCTATGCCTTTGGGAGGCTGAGGTGAGTGGATTGCCTGAGCCCACGGGTTCAAGACCCGCCTGGGCACCTTGGTGAGACCTCATCTCTACAATAAATAAAAAAATCACCCGGGTGAGGTAGCGCATGCCTGTAATTCCAGCTACTTGGAAGGCTGAGGTCGAAGGATCGCCGGAGCCCAGCAGGTTGAGGCTGCAGTGGCCGGGAGTGGCCACTGCACTCCAGTCTGGGCGACAGAGTGAGACTCCAACTCAAATAAATAAATAAATAAATAAAACCTAAGATGTTAATGTTTTTTAAGACCCTAGCATTTGAAACGTCATAATATGAAGGAAGAGGACAGGCACAGTGGCTCACGCCTGTAATCCCAACACTAAGTCTAAGATGGGAGGATTGCTTGAGCCTAG